CTTGGACGTTGATGCATATTCTCGAATTGTGCCCACGACGCCCCTGCTTTCACTGTCCTTCCTTCACTATATCCTTCCATAACTCCCACTCCAGTATAATAGTGTGTAGGCCTGGGATCAAGCCCTCATTTACTTTCCATGTAAATATTAGGATTATATCTTTCTCTTCCACTCCAGAGTAGATACTGAGTACTCTGAGGTGCTCGCGGTATTTTAAATTTTTAATTGGTTCACTGCGGGCAGTAAACGATCTCTGTATCTATACCAGCTCTGATATCTCTTCTGCCTTGAACAGAGCCGGCAACAGTGAAGTTATCTCGACAAGAAAGCACAAGTGATTTAAAAAGTGTCACCAATTGCAACATTTCTCTTGTTTTGAAAGTCCTCATTATCCACCCTGACATTTTTCTAACTTTCACAACATTTACGGTGTTCTCCAAAGGATAAATTAGTTCACATTATCACAGAGAGATCTTTCAGTTGTTCCTTTCGTTGTGTCAGGTAGTCTTCCAGTGTTCTACACACAGTTTCTCTTTTGAATTTCTCATTCTTTCTGTAACTGAACCATTGGAATTTGTCACCGTTGAACACCATGTTATTTTCTACTGCTCACTGGCAGACTGCTTACATTCTCTTGACATCTTTCCGTGTTTTCTACTGAGATTACCGTCATGATTATTTTCCAATCGCCTGAAAATGACGATAAGATACTCTGGCGAGCGCTTTTTTTTTTTTTATCTTTATGCGAGATGAGGATGAGAAGTAAGTGCCAGAACCGTGCCTTAGGGTACTAAGCTTTTTTTTTACTTTTGCTAATGCTGGATTTTGCTTTGCTTTTACACTCTGTGTTTTCTTCGTCAGGAAACTAAATATCAAACTGCCTACTTTTCTCGTTATATTTATTGACCTCATGCTGTGTGTTATCACTCTTATGATCGCATCTGTCAACATCCTTGTTAGATGGAGGTTGTTCCTGGGGGTTAACGCCGGCCCCGCGACCCGGTCCTTGACCAGGCCTCCCGGTGGATGAGGGACTGATCAACCAGGCTGTTACTGCTGGCCACACATAATCCTACGTATGAACCACAGCCTGGCTGATCGGGCACTGACTTTAGGTATCTGTCCAGTTACCTCTTGAAGACAGCAAATAATCTATTGGTAATTTCCCCTATGCCTGGTGGGAGGCTACTGAACAGTCTTTGGCCTCGGGACATGTAGTATGGAGTAATTTCTGTGTGGAAATTTGAGACCAGTTCCTTTCGAAATTTGCAAGTGTAGACTATGATGCACCTTTCTCGCCTGCTGTACAGGAATTACAGGTCAAGGGACTTCAATCGTTCCCAGTAAATAAGGTGCTTCACTGAACTAAAACGTGCAGTGAGGGGGTTCTCTGTACATTCTCTAGATCTGCAATTTCACCTACCTCGAAATTTTATTTTCCTTCAAAGCCTCCGAAGACAGTGATAAACACATACTAAGGAAAACAAAAATATAGCTAATCAACAACAGTAAGAGGAGGAGAGAGAAGAAATGTATACTTGTAAGTGGAAGGTGACGCACTTTATGGGTTGAGTGTGTGAGCAGTATTGCCGTATCCCCGCACAAACAAACAAAAACCCTGGAATATTTAGGTGTTATGTCGTAAACTTCTTTGTTGATGAACCAGACTTACAACTCTTCCCCACCCACCACAAGCCCCCTTCCCCACAACAAGTCCCTTCCTCACCCGCCACATGCCTCCACAAGATCCGCCACATGCCTCCACAACAAGATCCTCCCCCTCTTCCCAAGAACTAGTCTCTCACCCCACCCCACCCCTAAATGCCTCCTTTTCCATCCACCACAAGTCCCACCCCACCCCAGGATAACTACTTTTACCCCTACCCCAAAATGCCTCCTGCCCCGTTCAGTCTAGACCTCACTGGAGATAATCTTCAGATATTCCTGGCAGAATCCTGGTAAACATTAAGGTACTCTTGGTACTCTAAGGTACTCAAGACAAGAGATGCCAAGCCAGTGATGATCCTTTTCAAATCACTTGTTCTCTCTAGGCTGGAATACTGCTGTTCATTAACATCTCCATTCAAAGCAGGTGAAATTGCAGATCTAGAGAGTGTACAGAGAACCTTTACTGCACGTATAAGTTCTGTCAAGCACCTGAACTACTGGGAACGCTTGGAAGCACTTGACTTGTACTCGTTGGAACGCAGGAGGGAGAGAGATCATAATCTACACTTGGAAACCCCTAGAAGGAATGGTCCCGAATATGTACACAGAAATCACTCCCTACGAAAGTAAAAGACTGGGCAGGCGATGCAACACACCCCCAATGAAAAGTAGGGGCGCCACTGGTACACTAAGAGAAAACACCATAAGTGTTCGGGGCCCAAGACTGTTTAACAGCCTCCCACCAAGCATAAGGGGAATTACCAATAGACCCCTGGCTGCCTTCAAGAGGGAGCTGGACAGATACTTAAAGTGGGCGTCGGATCAGCCGGACTGTGGTTCGTATGTTGGACTACGTGTGAACAGCAGTAACAGCCTGGGTGATCAGCCCCTGATCCACCGGGAGGTCTGGTCGTGGACCGGGCCGCGGGGGCGTTGATCCCCGGAGTACCCTCCAGGTAGACTCCAGGTATGTAGCACTCAGGTTAACATTAAGGTACTCTTGGTAACACTCAGGTTAACATTAAGGTACTCTTGGACACTCAGGTTAACATTAAGGTACTCTTGGTAACACTCAGGTTAACATTAAGGTACTCTTGGTAACACTCAGGTTAACATTAAGGTACTCTTGGTAACACTCAGGTTAACATTAAGGTACTCTTGGTAACAGATAAACATTAAGGTACTCTTGGTAACACTCGGGTTAACATTAAGGTACTCTTGGTAACAGATAAACATTAAGGTACTCTTGGTAACAGATAAACATTAAGGTACTCTTGGTAACACTCAGGTTAACATTAAGGTACTCTTGGTAACACTCAGGTTAACATTAAGGTACTCTTGGTAACACTCAGGTTAACATTAAGGTACTCTTGGTAACACTCAGGTTAACATTAAGGTACTCTTGGTAACACTCAGGTTAACATTAAGGTACTCTTGGTAACACTCAGGTTAACATTAAGGTACTCTTGGTAACACTCAGGTTAACATTAAGGTACTCTTGGTAACACTCAGGTTAACATTAAGGTACTCTTGGTAACACTCAGGTTAACATTAAGGTACTCTTGGTAACACTAGGTAACATTAAGGTACTCTTGGTAACACTCAGGTTAACATTAAGGTACTCTTGGTAACACTCAGGTTAACATTAAGGTACTCTTGGTAACATTCAGGTTAACATTAAGGTACTCTTGGTAACACTCAGGTTAACATTAAGGTACTCTTGGTAACACTCAGGTTAACATTCAAGAATTGGTAATCATGGAGGTAATCTGCCAACGCTCTACTCACACTATAAACATTACTCTCACTAACGGTGGCAGCGTTAATGATCCCAGTGTACATTTACCTTTGATGAGTTTCGAGATTCTTCCTATTCCTGGCGCCCGGTCATGGGCCAGGCTCCTTTGGTGCTAGTCTTGTCAATCAGGCTGTTGCTGGTGTCACCAGGGGTGGTGCAAAATAACTCCAGTGAACACCTGGTGTACGAAACTTTAAACACCATTCTTTTATGTGTAACATGAATTACCAACAGCAAACCAGGCAAATCCCAAGCTGTGGTGCAGACGTTGGTCTGCTTGCGGTTGGCACCAACAGCCTGGTCGCTCAGGCCAGCAACCGGGACGACTGGTCTAGGAGGGGGCCCGCTGGAGCGGTTACCCCCCGAAACCTGACTACGGGTAGCCACCACCATCAAGAACAACAACTACCAACTTTATAATCGTTGTTGTCCCCTACTACCACTACTACCGTTACGACCAACAATGGCATCGTTACTGCACCCACCACTACCACTTACTACCAACACTGACTCCACACACAATGTTCTTTAATTGTATCAATGGCCCTCTACGCTTCTTCACTGGATTTATTCCGAACTTTCCCCATACCTTGCCACTACGGATTTAGTGTTTTCCCCTCCCTCTCTCCCTTCCTTCCTTCTCTTCTCTCTCTCTCCCTGCTCCCTCACACGTCAGGCGGTGAGGACCACCGCAGGTGTGTTACAGCGGGGCTAACTTACCTTGTGGCTGACAGGCGGATCTTTAGGCCAGTGTAGTTACCTGAACAATTACCTGCATGAGTGTGTATGTTTCCCGGGGACTCGATGTAGTTTTGAATCATGACTGACAGAAAAAAGGGAAGGTGTTGGACTCCTCCTGATTATAGACCAACGTAGGCACCACAACCTGGCTGATCAGGAACTAACATGCGGAACTTCTTAAGTTTCCTCTTGAAGACAACTTGGGGTTTGTTGGAAATAAGTCACTGACATTTTTGGGTCATCCTAGGTAATTTACACACGTTAATACCTGAGTCTCCCTGGAGGACATTCCGGGATCAACGCCCCCGCGGCCCGGTCCACGACCAGGCCTCATGTGTACCTGTACCTAAATAAACTTATTTCCCTTATGTATAACTGGAAGGTGTTGAGGAGTCATGGTCCCCTTACACTTAGTTACCTCTAAATGTACTCATCGCGTCCCTGCTTTTCGTTGAAGTCTGATTTTAAGATTTTGCTCATCTTGTGATGGAAAATTGGCACTTTTAACACAATCTTGGCAGAGCCACACATCCTCTGAGTGAACATACCGTCATGAAGACAGTATCGGGAAGTGCCACTAATCGTATGAGTTAACATATCATTCTAAATATTTGACAGGACTCTGACTGGTTCAATATACAAACTTGTCGATAAAACAAAATGCTGCTTCCCCAAAAAAAATCATAATGAGGAATAAAGTCAGAAATAAAAACTGCGTTATTTTAAAACAAATATGTTTTGAAAGCATGTATGCAATATAAATGAAAGATATACACATGTATTCACTTGTTACCTTTGATTGTATTCCTGACGTGCTGGAGTGAAGTGTATGGTAATCCAGAGGTTAAAGTATGGATATACAACACTTCGATTCACTTATGGTTTTCCTTCGTAAAAGTTTTTTTTTTTTTCAGGCAGTAAGATGAACACTTTAATGTCTTCTAGTACACTGAAAAGGTGTTCTAAATTAAATTCGTACACATAATCGGCGATTTCAGCCAAGATTCGGTCGAGATTCCTCGGTTCAGAGGTTGGCGTTGAAACTGCAGTTAAGGCTAATTGAAGTTCTCCATTTGAGCTTCAAATTAAGAAGGTAAGAGATGGTCGCGCCTCTGTGGCTGCGGTCCTCAGGGGTGTTAGGGAAGACCCTGGGCACAACACACTTCCTGGCTTGTCTCTCACTATCGTGGTGACGTTGTCTCGTTGGGTAAGGCCTCGCAGTGATGAGGCCTTTTCGAGTTAGAGTTCTCGTTGAACGAGGTCTCGAGATCTCGAAATGAGGTCTTTTCGAATGAAGATCTCGTTGAGTGATGCTTCGGGAGTGAGGTCGTCTCGTAGTGACGTTTTGTCGGGTGAGTCGGACTTTTCGGTTGAGGTGGACTCCTGGAGTGCAGCGATGTGGTTGTTGTTGGGTACGGGAGGAGCACTGTCTACCTGCCACCTGACGTAGTGGCTGCTTCACCTGGTGGGGCTTCACTCTTACACTCCTCCCCTGACGTCTTCCACCTCCTCCAGGGGCTTCGCAAGTGCTATCTTCACCCACCAATCTTACTGCTCAATATAAACACACTTCATCTTTGGATGATTGTGTCCATCAAGCCTTGAGGTTCAAGGTTCGACGAATCAAAACAATGCGTCTATGAGAGCTCAGGGGCCCAGACGCGCGAGTGCCATCAATTCATATGGGTGCTAAGATGTCAACTCTCCACTCGACAGTCTTACGTCTCCACCCGTCCTCTTGCAGTTACATGCTAAGAGAACTTGCTAAAATACACACCTCTGTATAATACACAATATATCTATAATCTGTACAGGGTAACACTAAGTTCGGAATTATTTCCTTCGTAAAATAAATTCAAAATCACACACGCAGTATGACTAAATAATCCGTGGGTGTAGGTGTGAGTGGGGCTGGTAGGTACGCTGCTCTATTGTACGCTGTGTGCGTTCACTATGATGGCCCCGCTAGGAATGAGCGTGGGTCGGGTGCCTGCCGCCTGGCCTCCCCTGCCTACATGGCCACCCCTGCCTCTCTCGCCCCTAACATTCACCACCACAACAACCCTCTCCCCTTCACCCAGTCTATATTACCACTCCGACGCTGCTGCCACCCCCCTACAGGGACAGAGTGCCAAAACATGCCTGAAGGTGGTGTGGCAACGACATTAAGCAGCTGACTCTCACCAGACACTACGAACCTCAGCAACCAGCGACCTCGGCCCCCGGACCCACAGCACATACCCATGGCACATTAACTGTTCCACACACACATGGAAAGATGCAAGTACCTTGTGGGGAGAACACTGAAAACACATTTCACTAGACACTTTCCAGCTCCTGACGAACACCTCCACTTTGTAACTGCTCACCTACCTGTAAATAGGTACCCATGTATCGACTGTTGCAAATCGCATCCTGAGGAATAGGACAGCAGGAACTCAAGGAAAATACGCAACACTGCGTAATTTTAATGAGTTATCTTGGGTAATGAATTCTCCGGAAAAAGATTTATCCTTCACTGAACATTTATATACTGTTATAGTGATTGCTAAGGACACGAAACTACAATAAATATGTTTCTCCGTGACACTAACCCCTCAAGGAAGGTTCCTTGATGTTGGTGAGGGGCTCTTGATTTAGGGAATTGGATCTGTGCTCCAGTTCCCCGAATTAAGCCTGAATGCCTTCCACACACCCCCCAGGCGCTGTATAATCCTCCGGGTTTAGCGCTTCCCCCTTGATTATAATAATCCGTGACACTACTCGTGTTGGATAATCCCAAGTAATCAAGTGACATAAGCAAGATTACTGAACTCTGTACGAGCTGGTCAAGACTCCTTGTTGGGAGTGAGTGTTGTGTTGTGTCAGTGTTGTTGGGAGTGAGTGTTGTGTCGTGTTAGTGTTGTGCTGTGTCAGTGTTGTAGTTGGGAGTGTTGTGTCGTGTCAGTTCTGTGTTGTGTCGTGTCAGTTCTGTGTTGTGTCGTGTCAGTTCTGTGTTGTGTCGTGTCAGTGTTGTGTTGTGTCAGTGTTGTTGGGAGTGAGTGTTGTGTCTTGTTAGTGTTGTGCTGTGTCAGTGTTGTAGTTGGGAGTGTTGTGTCCTGTCAGTGTTGTGTTGTGGTCGCGCCATAATACATCACTACCACTAACTTGATTCCTCCCTGTACCCCCTTCATTGTTCTCTCATTATACCTTCCGCTACTTTTCTTATTATTCCTATCTTCCGTCTTCTCTTCCCACTCCTCCCCCTCCCCCCATTTCACATTTCCCACTTCCCGTTCCGCTCCTCCTCTTTCCACTTCCCCCTCCTCCCTCTCCTCTTCCCACATAACACTCCCTCTCTTCTCTTCTAATCCTCCCTATCCTCTTCCCCATAACATTCCCTCTCCTCCTCCCTCCCCCCTAACTCTCCCTCTCTCTCCCTCTTCCTCCATCAACCAACCACAACAGTGGACCTCCAGGTGTCTACACCCAAACACATTCTACATTTTCTCTCTGCGTTCCTCTGGGTAAATGCTGGTCAGGAACGGTGGTTCGAGTGTGCACAACGAGAACTCATAAAAACAAATAAAGCTACAAAGTATAAAAACGATTACTCGAAAAACCCAAAGTAAAAATTCCCTAATAATGTTACTGAAATTACCAAAGTTATGACAGCAATAATGTTAACTTTGTGTTGGCAGTGGTAGCACATGCTGGTAGTTGTGGTCCTCGCTGGTAGTGGTAGCACATGCTGGTAGTTGTGGTCCTCGCTGGTAGTGGTAGCACATGCTGGTAGTTGTGGTCCTCGCTGGTAGTGCTAGTAGTAAGGGTAGTTGTGGTCCTCGCTGGCAGTGCTAGTAGTAAGGGTAGTTGTGGTCCTCGCTGGCAGTGGTAGCACATGCTGGTAGTTGTGGTCCTCGCTGGCAGTGCTAGTAGTAAGGGTAGTTGTGGTCCTCGCTGGCAGTGCTAGTAGTAAGGGTATTTTGTGGTCCTCGCGGGCAGTGCTAGTAGTAAGGGTAGTTGTGGTCCTCGCTGGCAGTGCTAGTAGTAAGGGTAGTTGTGGTCCTCGCTGGCAGTGCTAGTAGATAAGGGTAGTTGTGGTCCTCGCTGGTAGTGGTAGCACATGCTGGTAGTTGTGGTCCTCGCTGGTAGTGGTAGCACATGCTGGTAGTTGTGGTCCTCGCTGGTAGTGCTAGTAGTAAGGGTAGTTGTGGTCCTCGCTGGCAGTGCTAGTAGTAAGGGTAGTTGTGGTCCTCGCTGGCAGTGCTAGTAGTAAGGGTAGTTGTGGTCCTCGCTGGCAGTGCTAGTAGTAAGGGTAGTTGTGGTCCTCGCTGGCAGTGCTAGTAGTAAGGGTAGTTGTGGTCCTCGCTGGTAGTGCTAGTAGTAAGGGTAGTTGTGGTCCTCGCTGGCAGTGGTAGCACATGCTGGTAGTTGTGGTCCTCGCTGGTAGTGCTAGTAGTAAGGGTAGTTGTGGTCCTCGCTGGTAGTGCTAGTAGTAAGGGTAGTTGTGGTCCTCGCTGGCAGTGCTAGTAGTAAGGGTAGTTGTGGTCCTCGCTGGTAGTGCTAGTAGTAAGGGTAGTTGTGGTCCTCGCTGGTAGTGCTAGTAGTAAGGGTAGTTGTGGTCCTCGCTGGTAGTGCTAGTAGTAAGGGTAGTTGTGGTCCTCGCTGGTAGTGCTAGTAGTAAGGGTAGTTGTGGTCCTCGCTGGAAAGTGCTAGTAGTAAGGGTAGTTGTGGTCCTCGCTGGTAGTGCTAGTAGTAAGGGTAGTTGTGGTCCTCGCTGGCAGTGCTAGTAGTAAGGGTAGTTGTGGTCCTCGCTGGCAGTGCTAGTAGTAAGGGTAGTTGTGGTCCTCGCTGGCAGTGCTAGTAGTAAGGGTAGTTGTGGTCCTCGCTGGCAGTGCTAGTAGTAAGGGTAGTTGTGGTCCTCGCTGGTAGTGCTAGTAGTAAGGGTAGTTGTGGTCCTCGCTGGTAGTGCTAGTAGTAAGGGTAGTAGTTGTGAATTTACAGAAGAAACTTGGGTCGTGTTGATTACTCATCGCTCTTATCAATTAAAATTATATACAACAAACTAAAATCAAAGATGAAAATCGACAAACAATAAAAACTACGAACATTAATAAAACACTGAACACTAGTACTATCACACCAAGTTAAAATAACCGGCACCAGTTAAAAACTCTATTACATTATTAATGTCAAGAAGCTCCCCTAAAAGTTCTCCGAGGTCCCTACAGCAATTTCGGTAATTATATGAAAAAAAATGATGAAAACCTGAAGGATATTTCGGGGGGGGGGGGGGAGTCACCGCTCCTGCTACCCGATCCCGGACAAGTCGTGGACAAACTGTCAAAAGCGTGTTCCACAGGCAGCGGCACATTAAGAACTACACTGGGGGAACAGAGAGCACCTGCGAGCAGGCGACTATGGGTGAGACATGTGTGCCCGATCCTCAGTCGACAGAGATTTGACTCAAGGTGATAATTACTGTTGAGTCCTGTATGATTTGCTGCAAGTCTGCAGGGCCCACCGGGACTGCCACTTTCCAAGGACATATCCGAGGACATGACCAATGAAGTCACTAAGATAGAAATCTACTGTAGCCTTTGTCTAGGCATCTACCCGTTCAGTCCTTAGGATACCAACATGACCCGGGCAGCAACATAACCCTAGCATCAATATGACCCAGGCATCAACATAACCCTAGCATCAACATGACCCGAGCATCAACATGACCCAGGCATGAACAGAACTCCACATCTTTGTGCCTCGCGTGGAGACAAGGTAAATACTCCTGGATCTTCTGGCTCACAGGGTCGACAGAAGCAAACTGTGTTAGGGCAGACATAACACATTGGGGAATCTGAGTACACGGTGAACCGAGAACTAAACCGGCTATCAGAAGAGCAGCGAGGATTGTGTGGAACTGCAGTGAACACAGAGGTCTCTCGTGGTAGCTGTGCGCAATAAGAGTTCCTCACCAGCGATCACAGCAAAGTCAGCGGGTAGTGGTGGTGGTGGTTTGCATGAGTAGTGGCGATGGTGATTTCTGCAGGTGGGCAGACATCCAGGTGGCCAGATCCTCCTCCAGGTAGGTAAGCAGGGAGTACTAGTATGGGCAAGAACACTAAACACTCCTACAGATGGACTGACGAAGGTCAACCACTACAAGGTGTTCAGTACATGCCAGTGAGGTACCTGTAACCGGTTTCAGATGTTCTACTCCAACCACCCGGTCTGTGGCCAAACTTCACTGGCAATCTCCAGATCAATAAGGCTGTGAGTGCCCGAGTCCCGCACGCCCACAGGGCCACCACAAGATGGTTCATCAGCCAGGAACCGGTTGATGTCAAGACGTTTCATCTCTGTTCCGGTAAGATTTTCCTTAAGTGGAGGTGCCTTGATGCCGAAGGCTCTTCATCGAAAGAACTGGAGCCATTCTCCCTTTCCTTGGATTAAACCTGATCTACCTCACATTCTCCAGGCGCTGTATGACCCGTACATGTTTAGCGCTTCCCTACGTGTCATGTGCAAGCATTGCAGTCATGTACTACGGATGTTGATAGTGTCTCTATATGTGCTGTGGAACCCCTACTTTCCACTGGGGTTAACTGAGCTCTTCCTCTTGTACATTATTCGGATTTGAGACTTGGTCTTTCGAGCATTTTTATTGCATGGAGAAATAAGTTCTCCCACACCAGTTTCGGGTTTCAATGTGTGGTGACTTTATGACGACTTTGTTCCGTGGGTAGTGTGTGTCACACACCAGATCCCTGTGTCATATAGTGTGTCACGGGTATTGTGTGTGTGTGTGTCACACACCAGATCCCTGTATCATACAGTGTATCACGGGTAGTGTGTGTGTCACACACCAGATCCGTGTATCATACAGTGTGTCACGGGTAGTGTGTGTGTGTGTGTCACACACCAGATCCTTGTATTACTCCGTTATGGAAAGCTGGAGGAAATAATAGCTAGGACTGAGTATACTACAAACTAATCACACAATAGAGCGGAAA